GCCATGTTACTCTCAACTTTCAGAAGAGGAAACTGAGGTTCTAATATCAAGTGGCTTGCCAACAGTGGAACTGACCACTAGCAGACCAACTCCAGGACCTAACCTCTTAAACATTACACCATGAGGGAGCGCTCACATCCCTTCTACAGTTGAGACTGAGGTTCAAGGAGGTTAAACAAGCTGAAAAAGTGGCAAAGCTAAGGGATCTACCAGGATCCCTGAAATTTGTGTCCATTCTCTAGAAGACAGGAACCTGTGGCTTTGGTGTCCATTCTCTCTTTGCCCCCATACAAAGGAGTTGGGGGCCACTCTTCCCAACCCCAATACCATCTCCCATCTTTGCAAAATATCCAGAGTAATCTCAGGCAATGTGAGGACCCCGATTTCTCACTGCAACACCACACACAAGTTGGGGGAGTCATCATGCTCACTCACATCCAGTCCCCTCTGGTGGGCCCAAATAGCATCCCATACTCTAGTCCAGGAAGCCTTCCCCAGCAACTCAGGACAGCAAGCACCAGGAGAAACAGAATCTAAAAAACAAAGTACAAACTTTATTTTGTTTCTTTATAAAGGCACGGTGGCCTCTTGGTTCCCCACCCCCCCACTTTCTTAACAAAATATAATAGCTCTCCATGAACACAAAGACCTCAAAATTGTAAAAAACAAAACAAAACAAAACAAAACCAAAAAATCCAACAACAAACAAAAAGAAAGAGACAAAGACATTTGGGGGGTTGAAGATGGGAAACCTGGAGGGAAAGGTGGGGACTGGCTGGTGGTGGAGAGTGGTGAATCCTAGTGCTGAGATGGGGCTGGCAGGGCAGGGTAGGGCAGAAGGGCAGCAGCAAACCCCAACCTAGAAGCAACTTCAACCCCAAACCCCCAGAGTCCTGACCCAGCCAGACCCCAACCCATGTAAGTGCTTAAAGGAGAAAGAAGAAAACCAAAACGAGGAGGGAAGGGGAAAGTTAAAAACTTGACAGTCACAGGGCGGGCTCTGGGGAAGGCAGAAATATGTTGGGGTTTTGTTTGATTTTCCCTGTTCTTAAAAATGTTTAAATGAAGAAACGCTTTTTGGCGGAGAGAGGCCAGGCACCTCAGTGTCAGCTCCCTCAGCCTCCCGGGCGAGGCCCAGCCCCAGGTGTCCCGGTGCTCCCACACACTCCCACCACCCCAGCCCCTGGGACCTCAGGTAGGGTGGACTTCGCTCAAAGATTGATTTACAGTATTGAAAAAGAGGTCATAAAAGAGACCCAAATGACGTCATAATTTTGTAAAAATTCCTCACTTGCTGGCCTGCATGTACTCCCTGTTGCTGCCCCGGCCCCCTCCAGCCCCCAGAAGGGAGAGGGGGGCTGGGGGGTGGTCAGGGAAGCCCCCCAATCCCCACCGGCTCCTCCCGGCTCTGGTCCATGGCATCGCTGTCTGAGGCCTCTGAATCAGAGGCGGTGTCGGAGGCCTGGGCCTCTGGACAGCTTCGGACTGGCTTCACGATGACTGCTCGCCGCTGCTCCTCCTCCTGCTCCTGCCTTTCCTGGGTGCCCTCGATGTGCTGGATCGCCTGGGGGTACAGCTTGCCATGAGGATGGCTGGAGGCACATGGAGAGCCACCATACCGCCCCCAACACACACCCCAGAAAAGTTTAGAAGCCTGGCAAAGCAGCAAGTGGCCTGCCAGTCAGGGGAAACAAACTAGCAAACCTCTCTGCTGAGCTGAAAATTCCCTTCCAGATGACAATGAAGGGTGGTTTAGAAGTTACCAGCATCTTTCATTTATTTATATATTTCAAAGTCAGCCTATTCACTGATGAAAGGACTTTGTTATGAATTTCATTATTCAATTTGCTGAGTTTACGCGCAACTAAAGGTCTAGGGGTTGATGGGCTTTTTTTCTGTTTGGGCTTTTTTGGTTTATTCATTCCTTTCTTTGTGATGTCATTGGAGCTCCCGAGGGATCTCTGTCTCACGCTGGGTACAGCAGTAACCTCAGGCTTGACTCACAGAACTGATCATGTAGTTTCGTCCTCCTCTGTAGGAAGCTTGTCACCCTCCCAGTCTCACTGAAGGTGAGAGGAAGTTCGGGACCAACCCTAGAGATGGTGGCAGGAACTCAGGAAGCCCAGGGTTCCAAGAACAAAGGACCAGGACCCTCTCAGCAAACCCTACATGGAGGGGAGGAACTGGGTCTTCCAGGCCACACTGTCCCACATCTCTGCCCCTCACTGTCTCCACAGAGCCACCTCCCCTGCCTGCAAAACAAGAGGGAGACTCAGGAATGGAGACACACATAACTTCCAGACCTTCTACTCGTCTCACCTCCCGTCAGTCTCTGCTTTCTAATCTCCCCCAAAGGACCTGTTCCCAGAGGAGCACCCCCACATGCTGCCACCTCCCCGAACCCAGGTACCTGCACGATAGTGTCCAGATTTTGCCGGGATGTGGAAACAGAGTTGATAACCGAGGAGGGGCCCATGGTGACGACGTTGATATGGTGGGAGGGCGGGGGTGGCGGGGCTGGTACAATCACTGTGGGGTGGTGGGTGGGGGCCGGAGGTGGCAGGAGCTGTAAGGTAGAGGCCCTCAATCTTTCTCCAAAGTTTCCAGGAGCTGCCACTTCCCTTCCCTACAAAACCATCTCCCTCTGCCCACTGCCTCAAAACAGCCTCTGCCGACCACTCATGCGGGGCAGCGGCCAGTTTGGGACCCCCATTCCCCTCTTATTTTAAAAAAGAAATGGCAGCCTACAGAGGGCTTCCAGCCATCTGAGATTCCATGGCCCCTTCACTGGCCAGCACCAAACAAGCAGTTCAATAAGTACAGCAGTAGTCAGGAGTTTAGAATCTGGATTTAGACAGCTAGGGGTCAAATCCCTGACCTAATCACTAAGGATCTTGAGCAAGTTATTTAGCCTTTCTGTGCCCACTTTCCTGATCAGTAAGACAGCCTCAAACGGATGTTACAAGAATTCATGTGATAATGTACACACCTGGAAACCAGGAATGTCTGCATTATTATGATTTAGGCCCTGAATTTGCCCTGTTAGACACTGAGGCACCGATGCTGAGTCTGAGAGCCCTAGCCAAGGTCCACACGGCCCCTCCTGGGTGCCTCCTGCTTACCTGGGTCCGCAGGTGCTGCTGTTCCCTCTCCAGCTTCTCCTGGTGCAGAAGCCGCACCTGTTCCTGCTGCTGCTGCAGCTGCACCTGCTGTGCGATCACCTTGAGCTTTTCCGGGTACATGTGGGCCTCTAGTGAGCGCACCTGGAGACAGAGCAGCAGGCTCAGGGGTGGGGCCCAGACCAAATCCTAGAGCCTCAGGGTCCTCAGGGCCTCAGGGCTGCTGAGGTCAGCCTCTCCACACTCTACCCTTTACAAAGCAGGCCATTCACACCTGATGCAAACCTTAGCAGGAGCCTTCCACCTTAGGGAAGAGATCTGGGGTAAAGATCAAAGTCCTACCATAGCCGGCCAGGCCCGCTCTGACTCATCTCTCTTTCCATGGCCTTCCTCATGCCATGCTCCCTCCCTCCAACCTTAGAGCCTTTGCCTTCGCTGTTCCCTTTTACCTGGAGTATCCTTCTCTCCTCTCTGCCTGGTTAACTGTGAAACTCGACAACCCCCCATCTCCCAACCTCGGCTCAGAAAAGCCATGATGCAGCCCAAATCTCCCTCCCAATGCCCACACTTTCTGCACAACTTTTATCAAAGCTGCATTTTTACAGTGTGAGACCTTTTGATTGATCTCCCTATCCCAACACGAACAGTGACCACGAAGGGCAGAAACCTATCTAGTTTGCTTCCCACCGGACTCCTCCAACTCCTAGGCCTGGTACAAAGCAGGTGCTCCTATAAATAACTGCTCAAGGGAAGCAGGGACGGGAGAAAAGAGAAAGGGACTGGAATCCCCCCACCAAGCCCACCCACCTGCCTCACCTGCTCCTCCAGCATCATGCGAACTGAGCGTTCCTTGTCCAGCTGCTGCCGCAGCTCAATCATCTCCCGCCGTAGGTCTTCCGCCTTTTCGTCCTCCCAGATGTCTGGAGAGCCGATGCCCTCATCCTTGTCCTCCGCCCGCCGCCGCTTGGGGGACGAGCCACTCAGCTCCTAGAAACCCCAAGGGGTCAGTGAGTGTGCCCTGACACCCCCATACTACCACTACCAACAAGAAAATTGGGGAGCTCCATTGCAGCTCCTCAAAGCTGTCAACCTAGGTGCAATGGCATTGGGAGCCCCATTCTGCAAATCCAACAACAGCCACAGGCTAGAAATGGAGAAAGAATGGACCTGCTTGCCAAGTCACCCGGTTCCTTCCAAAGCCACTCCATTGAACTTGACAGATGGGTAAACTGAGGCCTTGGCAGGAAGGCTAATGACTGAAGTAGGTGAGTCAGTGTGGGAAGGTGGGACCTACAGCCATATCAGAGTCCCAGGCCAGTTGTTGGGCCTAGACACACCCATGTCAGAGAGAGGGAACCAGGAGGAAGGCAGGGTGCTGAGGCCTCCATAGGTGCTACCTGGATGAAGCGCTTGAGCTGTGTATTCTGCTGCAAGAGTCTGGTCTTCTCCTGCTCCAGGGAGAAGATGTATTCTGCCGTCTGCTGGAGAATGGCTGCCTGAGGGCAGAAGGGACAGGTCAGAGGCCCTGGCTGGTAGTGTCTGCCAAAGCTTGCTTCTTTCTCCCTGCTGAAGCCCATTGCCTCCTCCAGGAAGCCCTCCCAGCCCTCACTTACCTTGCTAAGCTTCTCTCCATCTGTATGTGGGATAAGGGTCTTCAGGGACTGAAAGCCCGCGTTGATGCTCTGCATGCGCCTCCGCTCGTTGCTGTTGGCAATCTCCCTCCGAATGCGCCGCTCCTGGTCCCGCTGAGTCTCAGGTGTCAGTGGAATGTTGGCAAGGCTGCCAGGGAGGGCAGGGACATGCTCAGGCTAGGTACCCTCCATCCCCTGACCCCAGTGGGCACCTGTCTTTACAATTCATCTCCAGAGGGCCCCGAGTATAACGCCTGGATGTCAAAGTCATCATGCAAATCCCAGGTCCTGGCCCTAACGTCTGGATTATCTGAGTGGGTCCCAAAACCTGTATGGCTAGCAAGAATCCCTGTGATTCTGATGCAGGTGAGCCCAGATGACAACTGGAGACACCAGCTTCTGGGACTCCTCTGAGCTCCTTGCTATGCACCTGGACCACCTTCTTCAGAGTCAAAGGCTTAAGCCCTGAGGAAGATATCCCTCCTCCATCCCCAACCCGACAGCCATGTTTCTAGCCACAAGTTTCTACGCAACCCCGAGCCAGGCCCCACTCTGCGCTAAGACAAGACAGGTACCAATCACTGCAGAAAAGTGACATTAGGCCAGACACCCCTGGGGATAGTTCTCCTCCACGCTCACCTACCCCAAGAGGCAGACCTACTCTGTGCCAGAGAAGCAAGGCTCCCAGCATGCAGTGGGCAATGTCATTTCATATTATGTGATTGCATTTTGCAGGAGCAGCAGCAGCCAGTGGGGTGAGAGAGAAGGCAGCCAGCGGAAGGGGGTGAGGCTGTGGGCCAAGAGGCGTTGGCGGGAGGCAGAGACAGCAGTGAGGCCTGTGGGCCCATGGGCCCAAAGCCACTGCTCCCAAGGGGTGGGCCTGTGTGTGGCCTTGAAAAGGCATGTCCCCCTTCCCAGCCCTCTCTTGCAACTTCCCCCACCCCTGGCCTGATGGCTTCCAGATGCTGGGCTCCTAGAAGAGGCCACCAGCCCCACCCAAAGCCACAGCCCTGGTTTCTTCCTGAGGGGCCCTGCAGGGTGACCTGGCCCAGGCCTGGGCTCACACCCTTGGGTCGGTTAATGGGGAAAGGATTCTGGGCAGCCCTATTTCCATAGATAGAAGAGCCTGGGCTCAAAGAGGTGCCTGGTCCAGCTCCCCTGTGATGCCAGGTACCCACGGCCCAGCCCCAGGCAGAAAGGAATCTGTACAGAAACCCAGGAGGGAAACAGTGGAGACAGCTGGAGACAGCTGAGGCCTTTCCCACCCCCACCCCACCCTATCTGCTCCCCGCAGGACCCTGGACTTGTCTTTGCCCCTTCCTGGGCCTCAGCTTCCTCTTCCCACAGAGGATGGTTGACTGGGGTGGGCCAGGTGTGGGCTCCATATAAGCCACTGCTGAGGATCCAGAAACAAGACCCCTCCTCCACCAATCCCCAATCCCCCAGGGAACTCCCTGGGCCCCTCCCACAGGGTACAGGTCCCTCATAGGGCCTCAGAATGTCAGCACTGGAAAGGGAACCCATGACCCCCCACTTTACAGATGGGACTTAGGGCTCAGAGTGAGAAGGAACATAGTTTTAGGGTCAGACAGCTAGGCATCTGGCTACCCCACTTCTGGGCCAGAGGCATCTCACTTCTCCCAGTTTCCTTGACCCTACAGTGGGAGTGACTGGTGTGGCTGGAGAGGGAACAGGTCAGAGACCTGATACACAGAGGTGTGCCAACCCTTTGGGAGAGGGGAGATTAGAAAAGAGTCCGGGCTCCCAGGCCTGGCAGTGCCCTTCAGAAGCTCTGTGGTGGGTAGATTAAAGCCGGGGGTCTTTGGAGCAAGAAGAGATGGACAGAGACGTCCACAGGAAACCAAGCCACCAGGTGACCCTGTCTGGGAGCATCCTCCTCCCCGTCAGGAAAGATACGGGAAGAGACCCTCCCCACCACTCACCCAGACCCTGGGTCCCTCCTGGTAATGCCCAAAGGCCAGAGCTGAGCAAAGTAGTGAAGGATGAAAAAGGAGCCCCATGCCCATCCCTGGGCCACCCTGAACACTAGCCTTTCCAGAAGGCCGACCTGGAAGGCCTAGCATCAGAGTAATACTTTTTTTTAAGTCTTTTTTAAGTCCTTACTGTACTAAGGACTCACTTTGCTGGGATTTTCTCATTGAATTGTCACAATCTTCTCCTGTGTTATGTGGCTTTACGATTCCTGTGTGGAATGAGGACACAGAGACTTGGAAAAGGAATAGCTCAGCCAGTGGTGGTGCCGATCCGAGGGCCCTTCTCTTACCCACGAGAGGTCTCTCCACAGAGCAGAGTGGGCTCTGCACTGTCCTACAGAGTGACAGTTACCCCTGTATTAAGGACCAAGCACAGGTATACCGTCATCCTGTTAGCTCCTATTATCACTCACAGAACTTTTATATTTTTCCCTCATTCTCAAAGAAACCCAGCAGAGTGACTGCATCATCTTGTTGCAATGAAGAATCCAGGGTCCTGGGAGGGGAAGTGGCATGACCAAGGTCAGGCAGCCAGACCAGTGAGCAACAGGCACTTGCAGACAAGGAAGCTCACACTCTCCTCCCCCACCTGCTGATGGTACCCTCTACTGCCAGCATAGGCACACACAGTGCCCCAAGTTCCTCAACTCCCACCTGCAAGCCAGAGCTCAGGGTCCCCCACCAAACAGCATATCTGCTCATGAAGCCTCAGTTCTAGGGAGCTGACCCTGATCCTCTCCCTTCTCCCAGGGTGCCCAGGATATAGGCCTGAAAGCCCCAGACGGAAGTTCCTAGATAGAAGTTCTCAGAAGGAAGGGTTCTGAGGCCCAGGCAGGGTGCAGGGGCCTATATCAACTCCTGCTCATTGGAAGTCACCAGTCTTACCCTTCCTAATGTTCTATCTTGTCCCCTTTGTCACCAATCCGGGCTTAGGAACTGGCTGCTGATTAACCTAGTACAAACTTAAGTACCAGAAAAGGCTTCTCCCCAAAGCTAAAGTTCCTCATGGGGACCCAGGCTGCCACCAAGACTTTCTACTATCGCTCACTTAAATAGCCCTGGAAGTACCAGCTGACAGTTTCTTTGATAGATTTGACAAAGCGGGTGTTCTAACTGGTGGAGTGCTGGCCAAAAGGAGTTCTAATTGATTGAATACTGCCTAACCAGGAGTTGTAACTGGTGGCATCACAGCTAACCAGGAGTTCTGATCGGTGCAATCATAGCTAACCAGGGGTTCTGATTGGAAGAATCATAGCTAACCAGGGGTCCTGACTGGTGGAGTGCTAGCCAACCAGAGCTTCCTATAAAGGATGGCTAATTGGAATTTCCAACTGATACTGTACTAGTTAAAGTAGATTTTTCTGCATACATTAAATTTTTGCATTTGTTCTGAGTTTTGCAGAAGTAAACATGATTTACCATATGTAATTGTAAAAATCCTACCAGTCGCCCCACATCGACTTCAGACTCCCCAGGTGAGCAGTGAAAGTGGCCTGGGTCCACGGACGCTGACTATCTCTTGCTTCTCTCCTTCCCCAACTGCCCCAACTGGCCAGGGGCTGCCCCACCTCAGGGATAAGGGAGGGCACCTGCCAAGGAACAGTTTGGGTACCAGCCTCAGGTGCCAATACCAGAGCTGCCACTCCACTACCAGATACTCCCAGAGGGTAGGCTGAGGAAGCCCTCTGGGAATAACGCCAGCATCCCAACTAGAGGCTCAGAGCGGGGAACACGCTCTTTAAGTCTAGATCTTGACCTGTACCTGTTCCTCCTACCCAGCCCAAGGGCAATGGGTATCCTCACCCCACTAGACAACCCTGCCCGGCTCCAGCCTCAAATTAGCCACTGTCAGCTCTCATTTCACACTGCCCCGAAGTCACTCACGCACTCACCATTCAATAGCTACACAGTGAGAGGTTGGACAGCCACACAGGATTTCTCCCATACTCTAAAGAAGACAGGAGGGAGGAAGACAACCCTCATCAAGAATGCCCAAGGCGCTCGCCCTTCTCTCTGCAGCAGATACTAAAGCAGCCCGGGGCCCTCGCCCCTCCCCTGTTTCTATCCATATACTCCACTCCAAACAGCCTGCCAATCCTGCCCTCGGTCCCAGAACACAGCACGTCCAGGTGTTCCCATAAGAAACACCCTCTCCCCACAGCATCTCCAGCCCCTCAGAGGGAGCTCTGCACTCAGTGGGTTCACGTGCAAACACCATCCCTGACACTTATTAGCTGTGGAACCCCAAGCTTAACCACTTCACCTCTCAAAGCCTCAGTCTCCTTCTCTGTAAAATGGGGGAATACTGCCTCACTTTCACAGGGTCATGGTAATGTTTAAAAGGAGGAGGAAGAAAGATTGATTGAGATTCAGAATAACAGGATGCCTTGTTTTTCCAGGCTTTGTACCCAGGACTCCGGAAGAACTCATGGATCTCTCTTAGGGGGCTGATGCGTCGGCTTTAACTCAAGCAGTTACTTCGTCATGGCAGACTATTTATCTCTTAGAGGGCTGACAAGATCCTTCAGCACCACAAGTTCTTGAGCTCTTAGGGTAGGGGCCAATTCTGGTTCATTGTGATATCCTCAATCCCATCACAAAGTAGATGCCTCATAAATACTGCGTCAGGGACCCAACACACATTCCAAACCCTCTAATTTTTCTCTAATTCCTGAGAGCACTTGTCTTTTTCTCCACCAAGGGCAGTCCCTAAATTCTTTAAGACCACCATGTTTCCGCCTCTAAGAATTTGAATGCCATTTTAACAGCAACCAGGTACTTTCCATATACATAGCGAGATTTCACAGGTGCTCCATTTTAGAAAGACTAAGAGCAATTAGATGACATCCAAAACTACAGCGTGTGTGGGCCCCGCTGTGCAGTACTGGCTCCTCTGGAGAGGTAGGGAGTCCTGCTAGTCACCGAGGGATGGAACAAAGTCCACCAGCCTCAGAAGCGAGTCCATCTGGCCAGAAGGTCCTGCCCAACCCACAACCTTGATCGTCAAGAGGTCCTCAATCTCACCCCACAACCCTTTCTAAAAATGAACAAACCCAGAAGACCCAACTCCACGCTCAGTGCACACAGGCTGGTAAGTGCTTCCCAGAAAGGCAGGCTGAGGACACCCCCATGCCCAGCCCTGGGGGGTTGTCCT